AGCATATGATTTCGTGCATTCACGTAATTATGGTGGTGTGAAAATGCTCGGGCAATCACATAGTGTAACTCACTAAGCCCATGTTTCCGCTCACGACGCCTGCTTGCAACGATTTGAGACCTTGAATAAGTTTGTGATCTTCTAGACTGTGCTAGAAAAGCCATCCGAAATTCGTTAAAATGGACCTACCATTTCACACATGTTGAAATGAACTTGTTCAGAGAATCCGCATTAGGGACGGGGAATTTAGGATCACAGAGCTGTAGAAGCATCTGCAAGGAAAAACATTGAGAGGCAATGGTTCTAAGGACCGTACACAGTTTCAGTATGTGTGACTTAAACACCTACCGTATAAAGTTGATCAAAAATTTTCTCAGAGGGCTCACACTTTGCTTTAAATAGTGTTTCCGCATAGAGCTCCGCAAGATCGAGAGCACTCAGTGACTCTTTCACTAAAAAGTGTACAGGTAAGAAAATCAGAACGACACGGAACCTTGAATAGGTGATTTATTATACTGTATACAACCTATTATCAACATGATCTCTGAGATTCACTTCTTTTTTGTACACATTACGAACGAAAATGCAGCGGTAAGTGTAGTCGCTACCCAGTTCAAGGATCAAATCTCGAGTCAAACTGTTTATGATAGCCATACCTTCCGTGCTTTCGACAAAGCTACATTATAATAACAGGAGGAATTGAAAGAGGAAGCTGATCAGGTGCAGCGGAGAGGAACATCATAGCGCAGAGCAACCCAAATTTTCGGAACTATGACAATACTTTCATCTTTATATTCGCTTATCCCTGCTCATTTCGTTTACCCTACAAGCAAACCGGTTCACCGACCCTAGAGCCTCTGCAAAAAGGTGATTACTTATGCAGGGGCGAAGTGCCTGGATGCCCCTCCAACAACATTTACGCCTAAATACGATGCAAAAAGATGCAGGTGGGAGCTGCATTTCGAGAAGGCATGTTGAAGAGTTGAATAGTGCATTAAATCAAATCAAAACTAAAATCCGGATCCAAATTCAAATCAAATCTCACCATCACCCAACTTCTGCGATCCAGTGCAAAGAATCTGGAGCAAATCCTCAAAATGTTCTTGCTGTGTCATCCGAAAATACAAAGTACGATAAACTTGGTGAGCTTCATAGAACTCTCCTCTATTGATGCAATCCTGCGCTTTCTTCTCAAGACGGGAAGGCTGAAAAACAACAAAAAGTAAAGCAGCCATGGCTCTGATTCGCTGTAGTTAATGGTAAAATTATCTTTTAAAGCATCTACTACAACAGAAAAGCGATATAACAATGGAATCGCCAAATCCAGACACTTTTGGTGGACTCTTATCCCGCTGCCGAAATCAGTGCGACTTTTGCTGCCGTATACAGGAATTCCAATTTTTGCAGGAGGAGGAAATCACCACGCATCAACCATTCCCCTTCCGCTTCCACAATTGCCCCGGAGCCTCCTTCCCTGCGAAAAATTGGACTACTTTAAGCGATATGATCTACCGCATCACATGCCCTCCTCCTTACTAGATGTGACTTGGCTGATGATGATAACTAGTCAAATCAAAAGATTGGACTGCGTGCGAATCAATTTCTTGAGGCGCTAGTGTACTCAAAAGGGGCATGCTCACGCTGACTGAGCCTTGGAGAAGAGGGTGAACTTTGAGGGTAATGAAAACTGCTTACACATCCCCCTAGACTCACAGCCTAGTACTAGGGGGACCAGCAGGGGGTGGGGAGGAGCATGATGACTTGGCGCTTTTATTCGCCAACCTTGTGTGGGATTTTACAGCTTCTGCGTTGGAAGATAATAGCAGTTCTTTACGTAAGCTGTGAGCAAAAGCTTAACTATTTGCGCTATAAATGGGAAAACTGTTCTCCACGATTCCAATCATTTTGCATCAAATGTTATGTTCAGTGTTCGCTTCCACTTTTGCTGCATAGGAGATAGGAATTTTTTATATCCACTACCACAAATATTCACTGCTGACGTCTCGAAGATATATGCAAAAAACTGCTAACTAGATAGGAATTTTTTATATCCACTACCACAAATATTCACTGCTGACGTCTCGAAGATATATGCAAAAAACTGCTAGACTAGATATAAGTCATCTAGTCTTATTATTTCCTCTCATCACAAGTTCTACCCGTAGTTATTCAATCGAAAACAGGGTGCCAACGATAGCGGAACTAGCCGTGAGAGTACTGTAATCGCCTGCTGTACGCAATCGCACGGGCGCAGGGTGGGATAAATACGTAACATCATCCTTGCCCATGTGGATTTTGGCTCTGACAAATCATGAGGGAAAGGCATGGGCTGCTTTATGCTTTCGGTCGTTTATAAATGTGTGTGTGATTTCATTACCTAACTACATATTTCTTTTCAGTTAACGTCGACTGTGTGCCATTCTACGTAAATAAAAGTAACTTCAACAAGATGTCTCAGGTTAGTTGTTTAGGTGGTGGTTCATATTTGCTCGTATTGAACCTAACCTACTTCCATACAATTTTGAACATAAGTCTTGGTGGTTGGCTTTGTTTTTGTTTACACTCGTACCATATCTCAGAAATTCATATCCATGGAAGAAG